CAAAAAGCTGCTTTAAAATCAGTTAACTTCCTGGCTGGTGTGGCTCAGCTTTTGAGTGTCAATCAAAGCTCTAAGAGGTCACTGGTTCAATTCCCAGTCAGGCCACAGGCCAGGTTGCCTGTTCGATCACCAGTGGTGAGTGTGCAGGAGGCAGCAGATCAATGATTCTCTCTCATCATTGATGTTGATATATCGATCTAGTATATCGATCAATAAATATCGATATACTAGAGGCCCAGTGGCCCAGTGCATGAAATACGTGCACTCGAGTAGGGGTTCCCTCAGCCCAGATTTCGAGGGGGTGCAGGCCAGGCTGAGGGACCTCACCAGTGCACAGGGCCGGGAAGGGACATGGGAGGTTAGCCAGCTGGGGAAGGACCGCAGAGGGCTCCCAGAGTGTGTCCAGCCCATCTCGCTCAGTCCCCATCAGCTGGACCCCCACAGAAGTCGGTATTTTGTGGAAGAGCCAGTATTTTGTGGAAGAGCCACACTGAAGGGGCCAAAGAGCTGCATGTGGCTCGCGAGCCGTGGTTGGCTGAGCCACGGTTTGCCGACCACTGATATAGGCTATAAAAGACTAAGTGACCATCTGACCTACCAACCGTCCGACCGGTAGCTCTGATGCACAATGACCACCAAGGGGCAGATGCTCCAACTGGCAGCACACTGACCACCTGGGGTGGGGGTGGGAGGACAGGTGCTCAACGCAGGAGCTGCCGAGCTGTGAACTGCCCTCTTGCAATCCAGGATCCCTCGGGGGATGTTGGAGAGTCAATTTAATCTAGATCCCCACAGGCCAGGCAGAGGGACCCCACCTGCTGGAGAGACCCTGCTCACTCCACAGAAGCCCCCTTTGAGCTGCAACACCAACCCAGATGCAGCTGGCCAGGGAGGAACCACGGGAGGTTGGCTCTAGGGTGTGTCTGGCCCATTTCACCCCGTCCTGCCCCACCAGCCACCTTCTAATTAATTTTCATTCAATGTGCATGAATCCATGATTATATATATAATCCATGATTATATGTGTGTGTGTGTGTGTGTGTGTGTATTTTCTTAAAATCAGCTAACTGTTGACTTTCAGCAGAAGATGGGCAGCCTTACCTCCAATCTTGAACCAAAAGAACTTAAACACTATACGAGTGAAAAATGTTGTTTGTCATCTTCATTGAAATCTGAAAATGGATGTATTTTATACTGGAACTACAGGAAAGAAGATTTTGTTAAGAGTTAGTGCAGCCCTGGCCGGTGTGGCTCAGTTGGTTGAGCATCCTCCCATGCATGGAAAGGTCGCTGGTTTGATTCCACGTCAGAACATATGCCCAGGCTGTAGGTTCAATACCAGGTAGGGGGCGTGCAGGAAGCAACTGATCACTGTTTCTCTCACATCTATGTTTCTCTCTCTCTCTCCCCCTCACCCTCTCTTTCTCTCTCTCTCTCTCTCAAATCAATAAACATATATTTTTTAAAAACCTGTTGGTGCAATATTCACCTCTCAAAGTCAAGGCTGTCCCAAAGAGAAATCATAAAATGTCTCTGTACAAATGTGTGTTCTCTTGCCTTCTGTCTGTTTCCTGAGCAATTGGCTGAAATGCTTCAAGCCCTTGGGTTGGCCGTTGCTCCTGCTTTTCTCACACCGTGTTTCCAGGAAAACCACCACACAGCCAGTGCACCCACCACACCCACTAAACATGTAGGAAATGAACGGATGGACTTCAGAACCCGGCTCTCCCACTGAGGAGGCTTCTCAACCACGCCTGCGTTCTTCTGCCTTCAATGGAGTGAAAGGCCTTCTCAGGCTTGAGCATGGAAGTGGAATATGAAATTTACTCCCCTATTCCCCACCCGCTTCCCGCCAAAAAACTGTCATTTTTCTAAATGTATAATTAAAACAGAAACAGCAATGATGTCTACGAAAAAAATCCCATAGTTTGATCCCTAGATTTCAGTGTGTTTGTAATGTTGGCCAAAGTGCATTAGGATGTAATTTATGTACAAATCCACCACAGCTTAGAAAAATCCCTTCCTCCTCACACTTGTGTGTTCACCACTTAGTTTAGGGATTAGCAAAAGAAAGTCATCATTGCCAACCAGCTTCCCCTCAGGGAAGGCCAGAAATGGAAGTGTTTAGTTCCTCCTGGCTTCTACCAAAAACCTGGAACTAATAAAAGACAACATTGAGGTGCTCTCATGGAGAGGAGGGATTGGCGAATGCAGCGTGGGCCAAACCAGCCACCCCTATAGGTTTCTGTATTGTCCATGGCTGCTTTTGCGATACAATAGCAAGAGCCACTTGACACCCAAAGCCTAAAATATTTACATTCTGGAGTCAAAATGCCTGGGTTCAACCGTGAGGCTACTCAGCAGTAACTGGGAAAGTAATTAAACAAGGAGGCTATCAGACTGGGTGGCGCTAATGCATTGTTAGCGCCTGAGCTAACCGAAAGGTAATCCAAGGAAAGGAAACTTAAGAACAATTGACCACAAACAGCCAGCTAGGCTTTCCCAAGTAAGGTAACCATAAAGTCCTCATCCGTGCTTTGCTTCCATCCACATCTTTTCTTTGGAGACCTCTCCCCAAGCCTGTCTTTGGAGCCCTCCTAACCAGCTTTTGTTTGGCACTGCCCATATCAAGACGATGTAGGCTCAAATAAACTCTTACAATTTTTTAATGTGCTGCGGTTTACCTTTGAACAGAGCTCAGAAATGTTGGGCATATTCTTCAGATTATTAAAACTCCTAAGGCTCAGTTTCCTCATCTGTAAAATGGGAACAATAATTACACTGACCTTCTAGAGCTGTTGTGGGGATCCAATAAGATAACACAAGCAAGGCACCTGGAATAGTACTGAACGGAACATAGACGCTATGTGGATAATCTAATAGAACCCCAACTCTTGTGTGTGTGTGTGTGTGTGTGTGTGTGAATATGTTCCTTTTTTTTAAGTACTGAAAGAGGTTTGAATTGTAGTTAACCATACTCAGCATCATTTCTTTATACATTCATTAGCTTTAGACTTGCTTTGGCAATTCTGACTTTCATTAAAATTATCATTATTTCTCTAATTCCATTTTCTTTATCTACTTCTTCAACTTAATCCCCCACGTGGCTGCCAAGGCCCTGGACTCAGGGAAGACCTCTTAAGAGACAACTTTAGAAGAAAAGAAGAACCAGGCAAAGTCAGGAAAAAGAACAGTGAGTGAATTATCAAATGTGTGTGCAGAACCACATCTTTGCAAGATGAATAGGTATGCACCTGGGAGGAGGAGGAGCAAAATGATGTGAAAGTTGTTAAAACACAAATGCGTTCCAGCCAAGCCATTGGCACCAAACCATTTCCACATCCTTAATCCACCAATGGATTCTTAGCTCAGTGCAACCCTCCTTTCCCCCATATTTCGGCTCCCCCACCCCCTAGGAAAACCCATCCTGACCATGCGTGTTCTTGGAAGTCCCAGGTAACTCTGATCCAGGACGTTGTTAGCTGGGCAAGCTTGGATTTTAGCAGGGCCTTTGGGGCTTCGTGGGTCAATCTCTACTGGGGGAAGTTGTATACTTTTTGAAAAAAGCACAAATGAAAATAATCTTTTTGCCCTGGTTGGGAAGCTCAGTTGGTTAGAGTGTCCTCCTGATACACCAAGGTTGTGCATTCAATCCCCAGTGAGGGCACATACAAGAAGCAACCAATGAATGCATAAATAAGTGGAACAGCAAATCAATGTCTCCTCTCTCTCTCTCTCTCTCATCAATTAAAAAATAGAAAATAAACCTTTTTACGGCTTTCTTGAAACTAGCAAAATTGCATTTTTTTTTTCTAGAAAACACAGATAACATTTTCTGGTGAAAAATCACCATTTTGGAAGGGCCTAGCCCTGTGCCTTGGTGCTGAGAAAATATATAATCACTATTAATTTGCCTCCTTTAGAAAGAACTCTATCCCTAGGATGGAAATTGATTCATCTATCCATTCATTCAACATGTATTTCTCAAGCATGAGCTGAGCCAGGCACCGCCCAAGGGCCTGGAAACAGGAACATCAGCTGTAGAAGGGAAAGTGCAGCCCACCAGGCCAACTTGACCTTGAGAGATGCCACGAGCACTCTTAAAAAACATAATGTCCCGCCAAAACCGGTTTGGCTCAGTGGATAGAGCGTCGGCCTGCGGACTGAAAGGTCCCAGGTTCGATTGCGGTCAAGGGCATGTACCTGGGTTGCAGGCACATCCCCAGTAGATGTGCAGGAGGCAGCTGGTCGATGTTTCTCTCTCATCGATGTTTCTGACTCTCTATCTCTCTCCCTTCCTCTCTGTAAAAATTCAATAAAATATATTTTAAAAAAAACAAACATAATGTCCCATGCAACGCATATAGACTAAAAACTATTCATTGTGTATCCGAAACTCAATGTAATGGGCATCCTCTAGTTTACCTGGCAACCACACTGTGAACAGAGGAGACAGATACCTGGCCTGCTCTCTCTCCAGCCTGAGGCGCCCACAAGAATCAACTCCCCAGTGGGAAAACCTGGGGAAAAGCGAGGCCTTCTCTCTAGAAGTGCGTCGCCCCTGGGGCCCATGGAGCAGCCGCCCTGAATGGTCAGGGCAACCTTATTTCCTTGTCGAACTCTCTGCAGTTAAGGTCCTCGGAGACAGGTCCCCGGGCTCCAGCCAGCACAGCCCCGAGCTGGCAGGTGCTCTGACCAGTTTAATGAATGAGAGTGATGCCCAACCATGCTCAGGGTGAAGAATGCGCTTTTATTTTGAAACGGGTGACGAAGGTACTTCAAACAAAATGAAGGCTTCAAAAAAGGCAAGAGGGACAGTTGTGTGAGAAACATTCACCCCATAAAGAACACTCCAGGGTCCTTAGAAAAGTTATTTCTTAACAGAATAAGGAAGAGTGAGCCGAAGACCCGGTTTAAACTGGCGATATAGTGAAAGGCAGTCACTGGTAGCTAACCAGACCGACCAGGTATGAGTAACCCAGGCACCGTGGACACACAGGTAACAAATAACGGAGGGCATTTTATTGTCAGTTTCGACTGTGACACAACTGAGACGCAGAGGGGAAATCACAAGGACCACAAAAGGACTGAGAAGTGCAGGGGACAGGGATCGACCATAGAAAATCACGTGTGGGTTGACTCCTTTCTGTCCGGCTGTAAAAGAAGTCGGAATCTGTAGAGCATGTTTCAATTATGCTAAGGGGGCTTGATTTCTTTCTTTCTTTTTTTTTTTTTTTTTTACAAAAGGAAAGAACCAAGGGGAAAGAAAGACAAGGATCGTATTGCAGTTTCCCAGTGACCACACGACCAGGCAGGGCCCGGAGCTTCCTTCATCCTTCTCGCCGCCATCCCGTGACCTCCGGTGGATCCGTGTGGACGCCTCCCACGCGTGTCACTCACGTGCTGGGCAGTCGCTGTCAGTGCTCGGGGCGGTAGGCGGGGAAGGTCTCTGTCCGATGAAGCTTCAGAGGACTGGCGACATCTTTTCCAAAAAGAATGTTAGAACAGCGGTTACATACGTGTCCAGAAAGCCCACTTCCAGATTATCTAGCAACACGTGTCTATGCAAGAGAAGTAAGTAACACGGTTCACACTCACAGTGATTTGCAAATAAGACTCATGGGAGATGACATCATTAACATACATTTGCATGTGGCCTTTGCCTGGGGCTATAATCAGATAACTGATTATTTTCCTCCATTTTTCTTTCTCATTAACTCACAGGGTATTTAGGAAAAATGAGATGGAATCATGGGACTGTGCAAACTTGACGAGGACATTCTTTGTAAACCTGACCAGAAGTAAGACAAGTTTATACTTATAACTAGGAAAACTCGCTGCAAAGGAGGACTTCTTAAAACCCATTTGATCTTTATGATTTCAGGGTGAGGTTCCAACCAAGAAAGATGAGAAGTCAGGAAGTTAAACACACAAGGCCATGGTCAGCCCTCTGTGACGTCGCGGCGTGGCAAACTTCTTCCACGCAGACCAGGTGCTACATGCTTAGATTTCACAGACTGTGCACTGGTCTCACCGCAGCTCTGCTGTCTATAGTGCGAAGGCAGCCGCAACTACCAGGGATCGAAGGAGTGGGCGTCGATGTTCCATACATCTCTGTTCCCCTAATCAGAGAGCAGCTGCAATCCCCGCAGCCAGCCCTAGTTTGCCAGTATCTGCAAAGATAACTGGATTTCATAGAAAACGAGAGGTTTTACTGCCACCTGCTGGTTAAGGTTACCCAGAGCCAAGAAATGCACACTGTGGGCAGGTAAAGGTCAACCTGCGCAGAACAAGCCTGGCCTGGAGCAGGCACTCCTGGGAGCCAGAGGCAGGCGTCAAGCCTGCACCATCCCGGAGAGAGAGCGCCGCAGCTCCAGGGGCACGCTGCCCGCCCGGTCACTCTCAGAACCATGCTGTGTTCAAGCCCTGGCCACACAGGAACATGGATGGAGCCCGGAGGCCCTTGCTCACTCCCCATTTATTTCATGACCACAAACAGCCCTGCCTTCGGCCGACCTCATGCCAAGCCCAAGACGGTCCAGGATGAAAGGAAACACCAGGGGTCTGCTGAGCGGTGAGATCGCAACCCCCAAACAAAAAGGAAACAAATCAGGGAGTCGGTATCCGCATGCCTCAAGTGTGCACCGGGAGAAAGTTATCTAGCCAGTCAGGTGGTCCCTGGCACTCAGCAGCAGGGACTAGTCCAGAACCCTTGAACTTTAAAACATCCTACATCCCTTCTTCCAGCCTCCCAGCCATCACGAATGCAGATTCTATTCCCTTTGCCTACACACATAAACACATGCAATAGGTGGTGCACGGTATTCATGAAGTTACAAGTAAGAATCCAGGTCAGGCTTTGTAATGGCCTGGTAACGTTTCCCGCAGGAAGCAGCCAGCGTGCAACAGAATTAATGCGACAGCCACGTCCTCGCTCAGATGCAGAGCCTCTCTCTGTACCGTCAACGGCAGCTCCATGGGCTCTGCGTCTGCGAGGACAGCGACTGATGGCATCCACCTGGGGTCAAGCCGACTGAAAGCACCCGCGGCCTCTGCCGTGGGCTCCCGGCGTCTCTCCAGCTGCTGTGAACACTGTGCTTAGTTCAAAGCCAGGAACTGGATGGAAAGATTCTCTCCATTCTTCGCAGTTCATGGAACGGTCACAAGCTGGCACTGCCCTGGGCCCCACCTGGGCGCAGCCCCGCTCTCTGGCCTGCACAGGTCACGGCACATTGGGATGTGCTTGCCACTGTTTACATCACTGTGGACTTCTCAGGAAGGGGCTCATTTCCCTGCTCTGCTGGAGAATGGAAGGTGGTGCTGGCCTGGATTCTGCCCCCACGCACAGCATGGCGGACCAGAGGGGACGCAGCTGCCCCTTACAAAGGAGGCATGCGGTTCACCAGGGCCCGCCGCTCGCCTTCTGCCCTTGACCCTCTTGGTGTGGCCCCGGGTGCCTATAGACAGGCAAGTTTCAGAGCCTGGTTTCTTTGTCATCTGCTCACGATCGCTCAAGTCTTAATCTGTCTTCCGTCTTAAATGCTGCACGCACGATGTTGGCGACTGGGCTAGAACTGATTGAAACCCAATGTTAGCTTCTCCAAAGCAGCCACATACTCCAAGAATCTATGCTCCTTACAGCACATATGTAAACCACGTGGTGGAGCCAGTCCTGTGGCGGTGCTATTTCCATAGCAGGCACATGCCTGTGAGACATCCCTGGTGGCAGAATGTCTACCCACAGACAAGGCCCCCTGGTAAAAGAAGTAGCCTGGACTAGTGTCGGTATCCTGGAGTTCATGCCACCCCTGCCACTCACTCGTCATGTGATCACGAGCAACTACTTGAACTCCAAGCATCTGGGTTTCTGCCTTCATTGGAACACAGACGGTAGTCCTGTTCTTGCCAACTCAAACTGTCGCTGGGAGAAGCAAACAGCACCTGCTAGTGCTGCTATGCACCAGCCACGCTGCCTGCTCTCTGCTCTTTGAACCTCCCCGCTGGCTTCTGTCTCAGGGCCTTTGCACTTGCTGCTGTCGCTAGGGAGCCCGATTCTCCCTCACCCTCAGTATGGCTGCCCCTTCTCAGACGTCAGGTCTTGGGAGAAATGCCACAGCCTCCTGTGACCACGTGGTCTAAAGAGGCCCCTTTATCATCGCCCCTTCCCCCCCAAATCAACAGCTACACCTCACTATTCTCTATTACAAACACCTTCTTTTCAAAGTGACATGTGTCAAATTTGAAATTAAATATATTTAATTATTGGCAATGATCTTTTTTGGACTATAAGCTCTAGGAGGGTGGAAACATACCTATCTAGGAGCCCCAGCATAGCTCCACCACCTAGCTCAGTGCTTGGCACAAAGGAGGTGCTCAATAAACACTTACTGACTAGATGAATGAGTGAGTGAATGAATAGAGAGGTGAAAACCTCAACTATTTACTAGATCGGGGATCTCGGACACATTAGTAACGCTTCTAATTTTCAGGTTCTTCCCTATTAGTGGGAATAACATACTCTCAGGGGCTGTTTTAAGGATGAAATCAGATCACATGTCTTAAATGCCTCATGCAACCCAGTAGGTCTTCGAGAAAGGGTTGCTTTCATAAAGATACTCATGGAGTATGTCTTGTCTCCCTTGTAAGGAGCAAACCTGGCCTTTCACTGGTGGATATGCTAATGTTTGTTTATGTGAAAAAGGAAAGAGGGGCTTCATGCTCAATAAATTTGCACATGTCTGCTTTAAACAAGGCTAAACAGATTCGTTACTGCAAGACATCGCAGAGCCTTGAAAATGCTGACCTGCGTGCTGAATCTTGGAAAAGAGAATGAACACGTAGCATGTCCCCCAAACTTATTGGGCATCAGTACTGCTAGGGGGGAGGGTGAAGACGACACAGAACACAACTGGTAAAAAACGAGTCTGTGTTACGCTGTGCAATGCATTCCTAAAAGAACCTCCTGCGTGCAGTTTCATGATACACCTCCTTGGCATGTTGATTCTATATATTCCTGAACACAGAAGAGAATTTCTACATGGACCCTGGAAAATGGGATGAGAGAAGGTGTGATAGTGGATTAAATACATCTTACTGTGTGTGACATGCATCAGAAACAGTAATAATAAAGTGACAATTCCAAGGTCAACCTGAAGGTGGTGCCGAAGGACTAGATTTAGGGAGGAAATGAAAAATTTCTCAAATCAGATGAATTCCCTCATAAGGGTTAGTATAATCTCCAAAATTACACCAGCCAGAGAAATTACAACTCATAAATACCAGCAAAACAAGAAGGAACTATGCACCACGCAATTTTACCATGTGGCACACAAAGAGCCATAATGTCATTAACTTTTTCTAATTTCTCTAATTCATAATGTCACTAATTTTTTCCAGGGGTGAAGAAGGCAAATGGTATAGCTGGAAAATAGATAAACTTGACTCCATTTATTTGCCATAGAAATTGCCATCCCTGATAACCAAGATAATTTTAGATAGTCTGTGAACAATATATGTATTTTTTTTAATTTTCAAGAGATATTTGTTGTTCCACTTATCTATGCATTCACTGATTGATTCTTTTTTAAAAAATATATTTTATTGATACAGAGAGGAAGGGAGAGAGAGATAGAGAGTTAGAAACATCGATCAGCCGCCTCTTGCACATCTCCTACTGGGGATGTGCCCGCAACCTAGGTACATGCCCTTGACCGGAATCAAACCTGGGACCTTTCAGTCCGCAGGCCGATGCTCTATCCACTGAGCAAAACCGGTTTCAGCCACTGGTTGATTCTTGTATGTGCCCTGACCAGGGATGTAACCTGTAACTTTGGGGTATCAGGACAACACTCTAACCAACGGAGCTATGTGCCCAGGGCAATGAATAATATTTTTATAAGGGAACGAGTTACTGGTAAATTGTGTCCCATACAACACAGGCCACACATTGACACTGTCTCAGGGAATACCGGCAACTAAAGAGCAATCCACAAGGTAAAGTAAAAGGGTCAAATCTACATAGAACACACAGGTGAGGAGCTACCCCAGTAAACATGGGCACAAATTAAATAGCAACATGAAACACATTTAGGCGAATTCCTACACAAGTAGCAGAAGTGTGTGAAAACGAATCACTGGGTGAAATAACCAGTACAACACCCAAAGCAAAGACACACTTGTGAGGCAAGTCCCGCACTGCCCTCACACACAGGAGCAGCCCGAGATCAGAGGCAATTTCAGGGAGTGTTGCTGGGCAGACAACACAGGAGAAGGGTAAGGATTCTAATAAAAAGCTGTATGTTCAGTGAAGAGCACCATCAGCAGCAAAAAAAGCCAACAGTAAAAGTTTTCATTATGGTCTCCAGAGCCCTGCAGTTGTCGCCCACAGAGCCGGACAAGCATCGTCTCTGCAGGATCCCAGGCACTTACTCTCCCTCTCCCACTGACTCCACCAGAAGCTGAGCTACCCCTCTCTCCAAATGACTGTTCTGTGCTCCTTTGAAATATCTGGACCCTTGAACTTGAACCTGATTTTACAGTAATAGCTCATTGCTTTTGAGTGATGGGTGAAAGGATAATAAAACATAAACCTAACTGGACAGGGCTGAAACCCGGACTTCCCTGTGCGACGCTGGTTGGTTCGCGGCCTGTATCTTTGATACAAACAACGCCGGGAGCTCCTGGAAGAGGGTGCACTTCCTTCTTGGCCGTGATGGTTTGCATCTCGGCTCCATTCCACAGGGGATGCCGCCACTTCTCTCGTCTTGGAATTCATGGATTAAGGGTCTTTTAGGGCCACCCCGGACCTGTCTGCTATGCAGGGGCCTCCCAACCACCAAAGGCGGCTCTGTGCGTGCAGGTATGTTTACAAATTGTATTGCTGTTGTTGTTAAAAAAACTGTGACTGTGTGCTGCCAAACAGATGTATCCAGATGTAAACCCTGTGGGGGTGGTCATAGATACCCTGGGCACACATATGCCATATGCTTACAGTACCTAAAACATCCTCCTTCAATTTAAAAAAGATTTTAAAAAGTATTACTATATTATTATACATTCAGAAACCTGAGAAGACCCTTCGCCTGAAATGATTGCTCAGGAATGTGCACTTACGTTGGTTAAGGATAGTTGGATTAGCCAGAGATCGGAAAGTGAGCGTGCTCTTCATACATCTTCTGTCCAGATTGTCCCGAGGATTTCGGAACTCTGGGGTATTGGCTAATAAATTCAGAAACTGCAACTTATTTAAGTGCTCCCTCCCTCTCAGGGCATCTCTGCAGACACAGTGTTCTAAGGAAATGATTCATGCACGCTGTATCTCAGGACTTAAGGCAATTCCTCAATTTCCTCTCTGTGACGCCTACATCATGTTGGTTCTCTACTTCCTTTTGCATTCCAGACACCTGAAATCCAAGAAGATGTTTCCTTTGTGTAAAGATTGTGTAGGTATATGTAGAAAGTCAGGCTATACAGCCATTCAATAGGGTTATGTGAGTATAAGTTCATATGCTTTATCTTATTGCATATTGGAAAAATATAATTGTTATAACAGCTTAAAAGACAATGAAATACACTTAAAAATAGATGTATTTAAGTAGATGAGACTGGACAAAATTGAATATATAGTGTAAGTGGCACATAGAGGGCAATGCTGAGATGATGGAACTCAGACATTGAAGCGTCTCTGAAGATGATACAGAGCAGATGGCAGTTGTGACCTCGCCCGACTCTGCGTGTGACCCTAGCAGGTGAGCGCACCTGTCAGCCGTTTAGCAATGCAGCCGCTCGCTCACGCACCCAGCACTCAGTGGTGTTTCTGAGCGCCTACCAGGTACCGTGCTCCCTGCTAGTGACAGACTAAAGTCATAAGGACTAAAATGCAACCGCCTCGGTGCCCTCTTCACATCACACACGGCTGCTCCGTGCCAGGCGACAGGAGAACAAGTGATGAAGGCGAAGGAAGGCCCAGCTCCCCTGCCGCCTGGGCACCACTGCCTCCTGCAGGAGCTGGCCACGAGCCAGAGGCCCACAATGCATACGAAGTGGAACCTGATCAGGGCAATAGGAGAGCGAGTGCCCTTGTCCGCTTCTGTGAGTCACGTCACCAGAGATGCCGGCGCTGGTGATGATAAATTCTGGGAGCCCTAGAGAGGGACCCGGAAGAGCCCCTGGGGAGGAATGGCCGGCGGGAGGGGCTGGGGCCGGCCGGTGACCAGGCTCAGGGAGCAGGCACCTGACCTGAGCCCACTGTTCCCTGGGGTCACCACTCATTGTGGAACTGAGGGGCTCGGCAAGCGCCTCCTCTGAACGAGGCGCCATCCAGAGTGTGCCCTCTGGGTTCTGGCCTCTTGCTCCCCATCAGAGAAGTTCTCCATCAGGGTACCCCAGGCCTCTCTATTCACAAATTGTACATACACAGCTGTTCTTACTGACCATCAACATAAAAAGCTGCTTCTGAAGGAGCGAGAAAACGCTGATGCCCTCTAGCACCTGGTTCGGAGGCCCCAGGTTTGGAAGAGGGGTGTCTCAGGATCTGCTTAGAGGTGCAACAGAGTCCGCACCCAGGACTCCGCCCTCCAGCAGGTTCCTAAGCTGAGAGCCACTTGGAGGCTTGTTAACTCGGGGATGGTCTCCATCCTCAGAGTCCCTGACTCCTCAGGTCTGGGAGGGGCCCGGAGATCTAAGCTTCCAGCAGGTTTCCCAGGAACGCGGGTGCTGTCTGTGCTCAACCCACCGGAACCCTTGGCACCTGATGACGTGCACACTGCTCAGCCACAGCCTCCGGCTCAATCTCTGCACTGTGAACAGTTTCCCCCGGACATTGTGGCAGACGTGGTGCCTCGGGAGTGAGGTCCTGATGGGACCTGGAACCAGGGGAAGGGGCTAACCAGCCTGGCGCCCAGCAGCAGTGAGTGGAGCAGAGCGCCCTCCACAAGGCTGTCCGTGCTGGCACCCTCGTCCACAGCAGTCCTCCCTCCCGCACAGTCTCCCTCCCACACTCAGGCTCCCGCACACAGGCTCCCACCACAGTTCCCAGGCAGTCGCCCGCACTCACCCTGCAGGCGGTAGAGCTGGCCTGTGCTGTGCTGCCGGGTGATGTGCTGCCAGTAGGCGCTGCGGGGCAGGGGCACCATGGTGCTCAGCGAGGCAGCCCGCTCGCTCATCTTCATCTGCAGCTGTCAAGGCAACAACAGGGGTGTCAGCAACGTGACTGAGAGGGGCCTGACCACCCGCGGAACGCAGAGACCTGACCTCCAGACCCCTGGAGGCGACTCACGTCTCCATCGCTCAGCACCTGGTCAGCGCGTACGCACATGCACACACACTGGATGCGTGGCTACTGCGAACCAGAGGAAGGAAGATTTAGCCAAGGAAAAGGGAGGCCTGCATGTTGTGACCCTGCACACCACTGCTCAGGAGAAATCCATCAGCGCTCACTTGAGAAACCACCTGGGCTGTGGGAGTGCTCCGGGAGATGGACCTGCTTAGCATGTGCCCAGCACAGACCGGGTACAGGCACAAATGGGGATATTATTATTATTACTATTAACTGCAATACCCATTGGAAGATTTTTTAAAGAAAACACCCCGCTTATCATGAGTCATTAGCATGGTAGTTCCAGGTCTAATATCTGTACTGTGAGGGAAGCCTGAGTCCCGAGTGCCAGAGGGAAGCCGGTGCCAACAGTCGGGGGAAGGAAGGCCTACTCTTGCACAAATTTCAAACATCGGGCCTCTGATATATGTATAAAAAGCTAAAGGACCATCTGACCATCAGACCAGCCAGTACCTATGATGCGCACTGACCATATGTATAAAAAGCTAACGGATCATCTGACCGTCAGACCAGCCAGTACCTATGATGCGCACTGACCACCAGGGGCAGACACTCAATGCAGGTGCAGCTGAGCTGCGGTGCCTTGGCAGCAGTGGTTCTCGGGTGACGTGACAAACCCAGAACCAGAGAGGAGGGAGCCCGATTCCTCGTGGGGGCTGGGTGATTCCACCTTCAGCGGTGGGTTGTGTTGTTCCTGGGGCACTGTTGGTCCTGAATCTGGTTTACTGCACCCTTGCGTTTGCGTTCCACACCCTGTACAGCAGCATCATTGCAGAGTGCCCTCGCACTCCGGGACCCCTCAGGGGATGTTAGAGAGCTGATTTCGGCCCAATCCCTGTGGCCAGGACAAGGGACCCCATCTGCCGGAGGGACCCCGCTGACTCCGAAGACACCTTGCCTTTCGAGCCACATCACCCCAAGTGCACTACCCCAAGGAGGAACTGCAGGTTGGCTCCAGGGCGTGTCTGGCCTGTCTCGCCCAGTCCTGCTCCGCCAGCCACCACCCAGGGCTGCCGGCATTAGTCCCTGCACCGGAGCCAGCACCATGAGCTGGAAGACCCGAGTGTGAGCTTTCTTTTTCTCCCCCACACAACGCCCCTCCTCCCCCCGCTACTCTGCAGATGCCCTTTAAGCCATGGCACCACCCCTGGAATTCTAATTAATTTTCTTTCAACATGCGCTAATCCATGCACTGGGCCACTAGCAAAGAGGTAATATTTAATAGAATAAGAATGTAATCTAGGAAAAACACTTGGGAAAGAGCCACCACTTTACTCACGACCTGACCATGGATGAGTCTGCACCCCAGAGCTCTGGCTGTGCTTTTAGAAGCTTGTTGAGGAGGAAGTGGTAGCCACGTCATGTTTCAGAGAGACCCTTACGAGGCCTGGCGCTCTCTTTATCTCTCAACCCTTTGAACAAACAGCTCAGTTTATGAAAGGAGCGTTCTGTCTTCGGAGAAGAAATGATGAAAAATCTTATTTCACGCAGAAATGTCTGAATTCTCAAGAGTGAGAAGCCTGAGGAAGCGATTTGGTGACACGTTGAAGAGGAAAGTGTCAGCCTCATTTTTCTTTATCGTTGCAAGTAACTCTGATGCGGGATTCCAACAGCTACGCTGGGGCTCACGCAGGCCACTGGCGGGAGTGGAAATTAACACTCCATTTGGAAGGAGTTAAAATTGGGTAATCTGGGATATCTCCTCCATTTTTTTAACCTGATACACTTTTATATAGTTTGCTTTTCCTTTTAAATAAATAGAGTCCTTTCTCATTCAAAAGGAAAAATAAAAATTACCCCAACCATAATATGTTTAAGTAGAGTTATTTCTGCTATAATGTGATAAAACATTCCTGGGGGGAAATTCCCGTTTTGAAAATTGTTGGGGAAATCGGGTTATGGGAAGATCATTCAAAACATACGCCCATTTATCACCAAAGTCACTGTCACTCTGGGAGGCAGCCGGAGGCTGGGAGGTCACAGGAACTACAGAAAATGCAGGAGAATGTCTGGTTGAAAATGCTGGCTGTGAAGTCCAGGCTATAGAGACAGGATGGACGCTACCCCAACAGTGGGTGCTGGAGCCACATGAAGGAAGGATGCTCCAGGCTACCTCTAGTGCCTAGCAGGCTGCGGGTGCTTGCGGTCACACTGTCCGCAGCTGCCACTTCTAAGTATCAGACAGTTCAGATGTGCACAGCCCGGGGAGAGGAAGTGAGCCATTCACGGGGAGCCACGAGGGTGGTCCGCGGAAGGGAGTCAGCGTGTGAGTCGGAGCAGTCAATGTAAACATGTAGGAATAAGACTGGTAGGATAATGGAGGCGGGATGGGGAGGGGCAACAAACACACAACTCTAGACCCAGGAAGAAATGTTGTTGAATGCTCTGTTCACTGATGTGTTCTCAAGCTCCCAGAACCTGGTAGACAGTAGATGCTCAATAAATATTGTTGCGTGAAAGAATGAATCCAGCCAATGGTGTGGGAGAGCTTCGCAAATAGCTTGCAAAAGCCCACTGGGCCATGTTTCAGGAATTTTGTGAGTGCAGGCTGTTCAGTACAGCCATCATTAAATATTAAGTTATATACTTACAGTTGAATAAGTATATGTATATACCCATGTGTGTATACACACAAAACTCACTTCCTAGTTCTCTCACTAGCCTATGCTCCTGAGGTCATGATGGTGACCGTGGTCTCATGGGCTCTTCTGTCCCCATTGGGGTCTGTGGTCTCAAACCCTGAAACTGCCATCACTTATGTCAACCGCCTGGCCCTGCAGGCAATGAATTTGTGATTCTTTCTCTAACCCAATGCTCCCACTGACAGAGACAAGAGAAGCAGAGGGAAGATTCCGAATCTGCTGACTTAAGAGTTGGAACCTAAGTTTTAGGACTCCCTAGTTTGGGGCAAGCAGCCAACATAGAAACAGACACATGAGCCACTGCCTACAGAACCTCGGCCGAGTCCCCTAAGCCGACAGCCTCCTCCTTCCCCAGCCGCCCTAACAGCCTTCTGTGGCTCGCAGCACCCTCAGGCTCACAGCCAAAGCTTCTTAGAATGGGGTCCTCCGATCCTGCTATCCTTCCAGTCACATGGCCCAAAACACCCAGGCCCAGCCAGCTCCAGCACCGTGGCACCCACTCTCACACCTTCCTGCTCCCCAAGCCCAAGAGCCGTCCTCACTGGTCACCTGGCTACACCCACCTCCCCTTGGGGTCAGCTCAGGGAGCACCGCCCCTGGACATTTTCCTGACATCTCTCCTCCTTTAATGGCATCAGGCGCTCCTAGCAGACCCCACAGAGACCTGTTCTTACTCTGACCACTGACTGTCTTGTGATGGCGTGACACCAGCCTGCATCCTACTACAGCCATGAGCTCCTGGCAGGCGGGGACCATACCTCTACTCTCTGTATCCCCAGCACCTACCGAGGGCCTCCAGAGGCTTAGCAAACAGGGGATGGATGGATGGATGGATGGACGGACGGATGGATGGATGGACGGACAAATGGCCCCAGCCTTTGCCCACACAGCAGGGAATACTTTTCAGAAATAAATCTTAATGAGCCCAACCCATGAGAAGCCCTGCTGAGCCCGGGTCCAGGTTAAAGCGCACGTGGCCGGCCCTGGCTTCATGGACGTGGGAATACGGCTCTGCCTTGTTCTATTTTCCATTTGAGTGCTGAGCAGCAGTGAGCCTTGGGGAGACCCGCCCTGTGCACAGGCACGTGGGGTAGGACCATCCCCGGCAGGGAGGGCAGCTCTGCATTTACCCATTCGATTAGCAGTGTCAGCGCAAGATCCCACCAGAGAGGACAGCAAGGCTTCCTGAAAGTCTAACACTCAGACTGCCGCCCAACCAGCGAGGCACGCAGGCCTCTTCCTAAACAGCCATGTGACTCCTGATCTTCCCAGTGGCCTAAATCAACGGAGCTAACTGACTGGGTTGTTTTTATTGATTGATTGATTGATTGATTGATGAGAGCGAGAGAGAGAGAGAGGCAAGAGCTGACTGACTGGGCCTTGAAGGCACAAAGATCGCTGTGCTCACAGGCAGGGAACGTGACCACAGGATCAGAGGCCCACGTTCCTGTTTAGGTTTTCCTCCGTGAGCTGTGGCATGGGACCCATCCGCCCCTTCTTTGAGCCTGAAAGTCTCCTTTCTCACAGCACTTCCCTTCTAAGGAGACAGATAATTAAACTAAATAAATAAAAGTGATCAGATTAGCATCAATAGCAGTGCGGTCCTGATCCATGCGACAACACGTGTGAACCGAAAGCATGATGCTGAGTGAGGAAGCCACACACACAAAAGGCCATACGTGTGTGTTCCCATGTATAGAAATGTCCACAGGGCAAGTCCAGGGAGAGAGGCTAAATCAGTGCTGCCTGAGGCGGGTGATGGCCAAAGGGCACGGGTTTCCCTTTGGGGTGAGGAAATGCTCTGGAACTGACTGTGGGGATGCTTTCATCACTCTGAATATAGGCCAATGCTCTAACCACTGAATCACCATTTAAACTTGAGTGACAACCGACCAAAGCATGGTCCCATCATTATCACTGTCAATGTCCCAACATTATCACTGTCAACAATGCAGACAGAGCCCTAATTGGCTTGGCTCAGTGGATAGAGCATCAGCCTGTGGACTGGAGGGTCCCAGGTTCGATTCTGGTCAAGGGCATGTACCTTGGTTGTGGCACAACCCCAGTAGGGGGAGTGCAGGAGGTAGCTGATTGATGTTTCTCTCTCGTGGATGTTTCTAACTCTCTATCCCTCTCCCTCCCTGTAAAAAAATCAATAAAATATATATTTTTTTAAAAAAGCAATGCAGACAGAGCC